GGGAGCGCATGTGGTTTGCTAGCGTATATGCAGACAACAATTCTTTACCACAAATTCCACATTGATGTTCACTAGAGTTGGCTTCTAATGTATCTTCAACTTTAACGGACATTTGCATTACCTCTTCTGTTTGAACAATACAATGTGATAACTCAATTTCATTTTCAACTAATTGTTTATCATTAACAGGTTCTGGATCATCAATTAACTGTTCTTCATATTGATTTGGATCCAATAATAAATGTTTATTATCTATTCCTTCCGAATCAATTATAACTGAATCCTAAAAAGTATATACAATTTATTTAATTAAAATTTAGACATACAGTTATATTTAAGTAATTAAAAGCATTATTTTGATAATATTAAAATTATATTTCTTAAAGTAGCTTATACTATACAGATAAACTCTATATCACATTTTATTAATAAATTACAGAATAAATAATTCATACAAAATGTTTTAAACGACATCAATATTAAGTAATTTTAACACTATATATATATGTGTGTATTATTTAGAATCCCATTCAAATACAAATATAAAATAGTGATGAAAAGTAATATTATCAACTACTAAGAAATTATAACCAAAATTATAAAAGTATATAAATCCAGAATCATAATAAAATACTAATACAGTGAGTTCCGCTTAATGTGATCACTGGTTTATAGATCCAACCCGTTTATTAGAATCAAAAAAAGAAAACCTTAAACTAAATTATATGTTACTAACGTTAAATTTAACTTTTATTAGAATCACTATGTAACGGAAAATTGAATCACTCTTATGAACATTCTTATCCAAGTGACAGGAATTTTCATTGGGGGAGGATACATATTCATAATTTATAAGATAAATTACAAGGTAGTGCCCCCTGAACTAATATTATATATAAAGAAGTGGGTAAGTGGGTACTGATCTGCTGTGCAGTAGGTGTCTAGATAAGTGCATGGGCATTTATCGAAAAAAAACTAAAAAAAAATAAATATTTCTGTTAGGGATCAAAATCAATCCAAATATTTTGAAAATATAAAAGAATATGTTATGGATTTACCCTCAACTTTTTTTTTTTAATTTCCACTAACAACTTATGATAAACCTTGTATTAGATTTTTGGCCAAGTGAAAATATATTTATGGACAATAATTTTTAAAAAAACTAATAAAAATGGGAATTCTCTTCTGCCTATAAATAGCTTAAAGTGTTAAAATATTTTGAAAGTGTTATGATGTATAGAAAATGGTAATATTAACATTTGGTAAAATTTTCATTTAACTGCATTACAGTCAATTAGTTTGGCGTAAAATTTTTTTCTGTTTTTCCGTATTTAATTTTAGTTTTTTCCAACTTTTGAAAACTAATGAGAATTTTTCACTTTTGCCAAACATTTTCTTTTTTGGTCAACTTTTCCCAAAAATACCAACTAGATTCACTATAATACCAGAAAATATAACTAAGTAGAAAATCAAAGTATTTTTACTGCCCTAAAAAGTGACTAAGGATAAAAAAAAAAAATAAACATCATTGTAAAAACAATACAATTATTGCTCTGCTCAAAATCCAAAAAAAATGTGGGGGGTGGGATCATCCATCCAATATCTACATATGTTTTACACATGCCCATGTTCTTGTTATTTTTATGATATTCAAACTGATTAATTTATAGGAGGAATTTCATTTATAAACTTATCAGAGTGACAGAAATGAAATGTTGATGTAGAAGAATCTTTGTTACATTGTTTCAAGTTAGAAATTTAAATGTACCAACCATTAATTCTATTTCAGAAGGGACAGTAATACATTTAACATTAATTTAGCCATACATTAATACTATATTATATTGAATTTTGCATAATTAAAAAATTAGTTATATACAATGAATATGGATTTTAATTTCAGGACAATATGAAAATGAAATAAGAAGCTTCTTAACTAAAATGGATAGTTTATTTACTTTATTTGAAATGTATTTGTTTTATTTTATTTTCTATTTTAATTTAATTAAAGTATACGTATAAATATAGAAACATTTTAAAAAAATTGTTCAATGAAATCAACCGGTTAATAGAGTCAAAATGGCCTGAACCAATGAGATCATATTAAGCGAAACTGTAATACAAAACAGATGAAAAGTAATATTTGGTAACATAAAAATTATATTATAGGAACAAACTTATATTATAGAGAGTTAAAGTAATTAATAAATTATAGTATTCATTTATTTTTTATTTTTATGTCTTGAGTGAATGGCTTGATGTCGACGTGCTTTTTGTTTAGACATGAATTTCTTTCCACAAAAATTACAGGCAAATGGCCTTTCTCCAGTATGGGCACGTTCATGAATTGTTTTATGAGCACTTTCAAAAAATCGTTTTCCACAAAATGAACACAAAAAGTTCCTAACATTGTCATGATATCTCATATGTCTGTTATATTCAGCTCTAGTATAAAATGTCATTGTGCATTTTTCACATTGCACATCTTTAGCCGCATTATGGGTCATTTCATGTCTATCGCGGCCATATGGTGTAACAAAAGCTCTTCCACAATATGAACATACATAATTAAATGTACCTTCATGTTTATTTTCATGACGAACAAGTGTTAAGTATGATTTGAAACATTTTTCACAATGACGACATTTTATTTTCTCACCGGGTGCATGAGTCTTCATATGTATCCAAACTTGTTGAATAGTTGCAAATACTTCCTCACAAAAATGACACTGATAGGACAAAGAACCAATTTCTAATTTTTTTTCATAATTTCTTAAATGCGATAACATACCAGCCAGTGTTTTGAAAACTTTTTGACATTTTTCACATAAGAAACCACCCTCAATTTCTGTATAAGAATGTTTTTCTTCTAAATTGTCAATATTATTCAAATTTTTACACTTTTTGCATAGGTTGATTTTATCTTTTAATAATGAATTATCAAATTTACTATAGTTATCTATAACTACATTGCACATGGTGCATTTAATATGGTCAGAAGAATGTATTTTAGTATGTAAAGTGAGTTGTTTAGTTGTTTCAAAGCATTCTCCACAATCTTCACACAAACAAAATTTATCATCATTATTTTCTATACATAATTGGGAAATTATGCTTTCATTCTTTTCCAATGAAGTACCGTCGTTCCAGATGTCCACTACTTCTACAATTTCGATATTATCCTGGAACATACACGCATACCAACATTCATTAAATAATAGTTACAGTCAAAAGAAATTTATTTGAGAAACTGGAACGACGGTATGCAATTCTTAATAATAATTAAGTCTAATTTTTCAATATTTCATAATTAGACATACAGTTTAATACTATTTGAGATCTAAATAAAAGATATACCTTATGATCATTATCCGAAATGGCACCTTCATTTCGTAGCCATTCGTCCGTAGCTTTACATCGTACTCGAAATTCAACAAATGAATTAACTTGGTCGATACATATTTTGCATATAGAATTAGGTAAAGAATCATCGACATTAAACTGGAAATAAAAATATTTTTGATAAAATTAAAATAGGTATACATTTAATTATGTTGCTATAATAACTTACATGGAGATTAGTAACTTCTTGGACATTTTCCAAAAGGGTTTCTTCAAAAAATAAATTTTGCAATTTTTGTTCATTGCGGAGACACAATCGACATAGATCATTCCAGTTTTCAATATAAATAACACTCTGATTTTCTTGATCCATTGTATGAAAATTATTAATAAAAATATTACCAGAACAATATGTAAAGTATTACTTTAATAGTTAAATACTATTAAATATTATATAATATTAAAAACAAGACTTTAGGGTAGTCTTAACACTCAACAAACTCAAAAATACAATAATTGAATTAATGACATCACAACTAATAATATTATTATATTCTGTGTCATAAGTGACTAGTGACAACTGGCCAATATAACTCCCGAGTCTTCAATTCACATTTGACAGGTTCCACACATCAATAGACATTAGACACTAGACAGACACAGTCAAAGCACATAACAATTCGGACGACATATTATCCAAGTGAGTAGTGACAGTACCGAGTACTCAAACATGATAAATGATAACGTCAACTATGATTTCCAAAAAAAAAAATGTGCTGTGATTGGTTGATTCTTGCAGTTATTCCGGCATACATAAACTTTGTAAATGTTGGTAACCGGCATGACAAAATAGATCTATTTTGTCATGGTAACCGGTATACTACCATATCACTAGACCACGATGTAGATAATATTATTATCTATATACGTATAGGAGACCGCCCCTATTCACTCATCAACGCCAGACGCCCAGACCAAACCGTTGGCCGTTGGGTCTAGACCACACAATACACAAAATACATAAAATAGTATAACTTCGACCACAGAATAGATGAAATAGATTTCATCTATTCTGTGCTTCGACCATATAAACTTAGTTTATATGGTCGAAGGCTAAAACCATGGTTAGCTGATAATGATTTGATAATGGCAGATTATCACAAACTTATCACTACTACTAGCACGTCCTCATATCATATCATATTATACATATTATTTTATACAATTATACAAAATGTATTGAAAACCTTATGGTATATTATAATCATCTGTACTCTATAGTATTAACCACGGACTAAGATATACAGGACTGGACACGAGATGAATATTGTGGTTACGAAATGTTTTACAACAGGCAGAGTTCGGGGGGATATTTTCCTTTTAGCATTACTAGCGCCGTCTTAGTGGATACTTATGGAACTAGAAATTTGTATGATGTGTTCTAGTTCCATAAGTATCCACTAGGACGGCGCTAGTAATGCTAAAAGGAAAATATCCCCGCGAACACCGCCTGTTGTAAAACATTTCGTAGTCAACCCCGCCACACCCTCCAACCTTGTCGTGTCCAGTCCTGTATATCTTAGTCCGTGGTATTAACAAACAACATTATTATTTCGTTGTTAACAATTTAAAAACATTTCGTATTAATAATTAGTGATATGTATTCAATAAATATACTTCGACAAACATCTTTAGTACGCTTGTCAATTAAACCATATCCAATACAGTTGAGTAAATACAAATCCTCCGATTCCAAAGAGGATTTAAAGGAAAAAATTAAAATGAAAACACCAATTGGTAATGTAAATTAATAATTTAACTAAGCTAAAAGTTATAACTTTGACATAATATTATTACTAAAGGAAAATTAGACGAACTCGAAGCTGGTAAGCATCCATTTCAAGAAAAGCAGCCTTTGAAAGAATGGCCTGAAGGTCGTAATCCAGCAACTGGAGAGCAAAACGGCCCAAAAGGACCTGAACCAACTAGATATGGCGATTGGGAACGAAAAGGAAGAGTGACAGATTTTTAAATACAAAACATATACACATATATATATAAATCATTTGTTTATAATTAAATATCTATAGTAGGTAAATTGTAAATTATATATTTTAAGATAATAGTAAAAAAAACTAGTTTTGTTTCTTGATGAATAATTTATGTTAATGAAAAAAAAACCTTCTAATACTAAGTGAGTTTGACAAAACCACAAAACAGTGTCAGTTTTATAAATTATACCAAAATTCAGTAACTTATTCGTCCGTTTTTGAAAGACCCATGGCGTCTTTCATCATAAAATTTCTAAGCGCCCATAAAGCGTTTAAAACGTTTCCATGATTACCAATTCCTTTTCCCAACCATTGAATAGCTGGGAGCGAATTTGGATCATCTGGTCCTTTGGTATTTTCTTGTGTGGCAATCAATTGACGTTCCCAATTAGATTTGCTTTCCAGATTCAAACTCTCAATGTATCTGAAAAATTAAAATAAAATACTATTAACATCCAAATAGTAAATACAAAATTAAGGGTATTTTAAATACTTGATATAAGCTTCAGAATGAAATACTCTCGTAGGTCTTGGTGGCACAGTTACAAATAGTGGTTCGGGGTGTTTGCTAATAGTAATGCTATTATTACTCGCTGAACCTAAAACAATTTTAATATCATTACTAAAAATACGATATTTAGGATTCATATTTTATATTGTTAACCATCTTACCATAGAATATTACAAATTAATATTAATTTTATAAAATAAAAATAATACATTTTTTTGTATATAAATTTATAATAATTAAAAATATAATTACCATTTTGAGACATGGGCGATGGAGTATTCCTATTTATCTGATTCAAAACATTGACAGCTCCTCCAACTATACATAAAAAAAAATATGAATTATTTAATGGTTAAATAAATGGTTCTTGTCCTTCATGGTAACATACCTTTTCCTTGTTATGATCTTTAAAGAGCTTATAAATATTTATATTGTAGGAAAAACTTACTAGGTTGATTTGCAAACTGTTGTGGGGTTGGTTGAGCCATTAGTTCTTTTTTCAAACGTGTTGACAGTACAACATTTCTATAAAGCGGTTTAAATTCAACTTAAAAAAGCAACACACAACATGCTGATACATAGTAATTTTTTTAATACACAACATTAAACAAGTCACTATTTTTTTGAAAATGATAAAAAAAAGTACTTAGAACATTTATGTTGTGCTATTAAACAAATTACCATGAACATATCAACGTGTAATACTACATTATGTATACATTAGAGCTCTTTTAGACCGGGATGACTAAGCGCCCATTACTGATTATCCAGGCCAGGCCAAACAATAAATGTTAGTTGAAACGGCCAGAACCTAACTTAAACTAGTGAAATACATTCAAGAGCAGTAAATTAAAATTTTAATCATACAAAGTAAAAATTATTTTTAAGAAAGATTACAATATTATGATTAGAGCAAGGACTTCATACATTTGAATATTTTTTTAAAACATTCATTTTTTCAAAGGACATAAATTTGAACGTGAACGAGTTCCTTTTTTAAGCAGTGAACGTGAACGAATTCATTTTTTTATTGACCTTTCCGAACACTGGTAAGTACACAATACTTTTCACAATGTTTGTGATCAAGTTTTTAGTGCATTTTTTTATAATTTACCGAGAATCAAGCACTTCGGTAAATATTTTTCATGAATCAATGTCAAAATAAATAAAATAAAAATGTAAGATATAATTAAGTAGTGTAGTATGGGCGATATATATATTTTATTAAAGCATATTTTTAACTTTTTGATGCATAAACGCATATAATGAAATTCACATTTAATTCATTTTTAGTGCATTAAAGTCCTTGCTTTAATTATGATTTATTTTGAAATTATGGAGAATACGGTTTAATACGTAGTAAAATAAATCAGCTCAGTCATTGTGTATATTGAAGAGGATGCCACACCCACATGTGTTGTCTCCGTCTTACAAATTTACAACATAGTAAAAACTGTTTTGGGCGGGACAACTTTACTCCCTCTGTATTTATAGTAGAATTACCAAAATTACACAATGCATAGGGAAGAACTTTATCTATCATTTAATAATTAAATGAAAAAAAAATAAACATAATGTTCTCAAACTGATAACTTTAAATGTATTTAAATTTATTCATGTTATCCAAATAGTAAAAACACAACGACACAGATAATGTTCTTACCCATGAGTTGTGGAATTTTGGTAATTCTAATATAAATAGACAGTAAATGTATCCTTTGCAAACCAGTTTTTAGTATGTTGTACATTTGTAAGACGGAGATAACACATGAGGGAGTAAAATGAATCGGGCTTGACATTGAATAATGGTTGATTACAGAGTTGGGATTCATTAGTAAAATTTTATTTATGATAAGTTTGGCCTTATAAACAATAGGGATAAGCAGAGCTCTAATATACATACAAAAAATGATAAGAACTCATAGCACTAATTTTTCTAACCAACAAATATATAAAATACTAATACAAACTGCAAAATCAAATGAAAAGTAATTAACAAAAACTTTATATACTTTTTCCCATTAATGTAATTTTTTTATTTATTTAAAAAAATAAGATACTAGTTTTTAAGATTATAAGCTCTGTACAGTTAAAGTTGTAAAAGTATTCAAGTAACTAAACAACTATTAAAACCAATTCTAAAAAATAAAAAATCTCTAAGTAAAACATATAACAAGACATTATATTACTAATTAATTATTCTTTTTTAATAAAAATTTTAATGGCCATGCTTAAATAAATTTTAACTCTATTTTGAAGAAAAAAACAGACCATTAGAATTTTCAACTGGTGGTGGAGATACAGATGCCACAGATAAAACAGAAGTGGTAGTAATGACTGAGCGAGTGCTCGACATTAAATTTCTGAAATTAAAGTATGGTTGTTGAAAGTAAATAATAATATCAAAAAATATAGTTGTAAAAAATCTAAATTCAATTAATTAGATTTTAAAAAATATATATTTTTGAAATTATTTTTTCATTTAAATATACTTTGAACATAATTAATAAACGCATAAATCTATCTCAAATTTTCAAAAATAATTGCTAGTTCATCTTGATGAACACCACCCACGTAATACATAAGTAATATTATATGATCACCCTAAGCATATAAAATATAAATTATATTTACTTGCTGCGTTCTGATAATGATACTGGTTTCCCAGGATTTTTAAGTATATGGACTTCTTTTACATGTCTGACTAGACGATGTAAACTTGGAAATGGAGCAATACCAGTCTTTTTAACTCTAAGACATCCTCTCCATTGACATTGAAATTCAATTTCTTGTAAAGTTAAAGAATTGCATATTGTAGAAAGGATAAATATTTACTTATGTTATTTTATAAAATAAAATATATACCACTGGGAGGAATGGCTGCAAAGAATGTCTGCACATGTCCATATTGATCAGCTACAGCATGATCTAAACAATCTGATTGATCTTCAAATTGCCAGTCACAATTGTCCCAACCACACTCCCAAATTAGATCAGAACCTTCTGGGGGAGGTGGAGCTTGGTGTGCCTGTTGACGCCATTGTGGATAATTCTCTTCATTTAATCTATTTGCACGTTCTTCGTATGCCATTTTTTCTGTCTGTGATAAATTGCGCCACTGTAATTTTGAATCATTTAGAATTTAGTTAATAATTTATATTGTGATATATGTTATATATAATTTACTTCATTGCCGACAATACGACTAACTTCACCAAAACTACGATCTGGATTATTTTGTACAATAGCTTTTCGAACATCACTTGTGTACAATATATAACCAGTGACAAGCTTCTTATGATTGGGGTTCTTTTTTCTAGATGATGATGGGGTAGATATAACTGTTGAAGTATTCAATGTACGTTCGCCCAAATCAGAAGAGCTGACAGATGGTGGACCTCCATCCATTGAATCTTCAGTCATTGTATCAGCTGGTTCTAGTTTTGGCATAGCTGGAGAACTTACATTCTGTAATCGGAATAAAGATGATATTAAACAAGATACAAAATTAAATCATTATAATATTAAACTTACAGATACAGAATCATAATGTTGGTTGTACACAGTTTTAACATCACTTGATTGAGTATTATTTTCAGTAGCTCCAACCTAGGATATAATTACATTTAATAAGACTTAATAATAGTTTAATTTAGGTTACATTACTTTTACTGGATGAATAAGTCTCCTAAAGAAATAAAATTCATCTTGATTTACAGCTGGAGAATGAGTATACTTTTTTAAACCATCTTTTGGCAACTCTTTTATTAGTTTAGTAGATTCATCATAAATTGATTCACAAAGATAAACATCATCTTCAGCTATTTCTGCTGGACGACCTATAAAATAAACAAAAAAATTACAATAAAAAATGCAATTTGGGAAATATTTTTTGATGTTTACATGATATATATTCAGCATGTTCTAAGACTGAACATTTTCCTGTGATTTTTGATATTAATACAGTTTCCTCAATAGTAGTAAACAGAACTTCTTGTTTGAAGAACTGCCTACCAGAACAATTTGGAAGATCTGCGGGAGTTAGTAGTACAGGACCAAAGACAAACGCTCCTCTGGAATATTAAAAACACATAAATAAATATATTTAATACATTTATGGTTTAGGGCCACTTCTTACACAACACTTAAGTTTTTGGAAAGTCTAATTACAGTTCTGTATATTATAGAAGATTTACTTACTGCTTATTAACCCAAATTTTATCAACTTGGACTATCTGATTTTGATCACTTTTTACATAAACAAAATCGCCTGGTTTGAGTATACCTACATGACTGTTGTATTGTTCATAATAAACATTTCCATCATCAATAACCCCAGGAGGATTTGGTATTATAACATTCTGTTTAATAAAACAAAATTAAGTTATGGCAACTTATGTAACTTATATACAAAGTAAAAATACTAACTGGTTTTTCTTTTTCAATTATTTTTTCATGTTCTTCAAGTTC